CCTCTTTGTCAGCCCTGGCGCTGTTAGATTTTTAAAGTTTTTGTACTGCTTCAAGTTGCTAATTCAACAGAAAGATAATTGGGAGGATGGAGAGGAGGAAGGTGGGAAGCTTTTTTGAGGGTTTGTGGGATACATTAGACCACCAAAAAGTCTGATGAATGACAAAGCTAACATTAGCGAGGGAAGGGAGCAATGAAACCTCTTCAGTAGTAACCTGTTAAATCTGTTTGACCGTCTTGCATGATACACCTTATTTCTTTTAATTATTTGCCTTTTTCAAGTAATTTGTTGTTACCTATATCCTCTGGACATTTTTCCTTTCCTCTACCACATCTTTTTCCCAGATGGTTTCTTTTCTCTCCATTGTTTTACTTTCCCTCAGCTCTAGATAGACCTACCCTCCTCAGCCCTGTTGAGGGAACAGCACTCTGCTACTATCTAGAAGTAAAAGAAGGACGAACAACCAGAAATAATGGAAGAAAAAAGGGTCTAGTAGGTTTCCTGCAGCCTTTGGGGTGAGGCAGAGCCACCTTTACAGTAGGGATCTGCTGTGTGCCTTGGAGGGTATACTCATGCTTGGAAATACTTGTCTGTCTTAGAATCTACAAATCCCTTACTGCAAAGTATGTCTAAGTGTGAATGCACTGGCATATATATTAAATGGTTGGGCTGCATAATGATAACATGCAGTTAAAGGTTGCTTTGCACATTACGTTTAAGCAAGGATTTAATAAAAGCCGGGTTCCTGGAAAGATATGTTAGAAGAGCCTTGTTGCTATGGCACATGAACACAGAAGAAGTGGAGGGCACCAAATTTCCAGTAAGCTCCAGCCTCAGCTAGGTGAAGTTGGTCCCTAGTGACTGCTGGAAGCCTTAGTTTATAAGTGGAGAATAACTTGCATCATGCATTCATTTACTTTTATGGCTGTTACAGCTATTTTAATTATAACACTCACTCAGTAATGTGCTCTTAATAAGCAAAAATGGTCTACTGTGATACTGATAATGACAGGACAAATAGATTTGAAACCTGGGGAGTTATTTGTGGTTAATTGTTAATCTCCCGTTAGAAAACAGAACAACTGGAGGCTGAAATACCAAGTGTAAATTGAGGCTCAATACCAAGAAATAGTGATATGCAAGTAAAAAAATTCTGAAACATTAGGATTTTGCTCTAAATGGAAGAGAGGGAAGTTGCTGCTTTTAGCTTGTAGATGTTAGCATTGACACTGAAGTCCTCTTGTTAAAATTTTGTTACTAGGACATAGGTTTTCCACATCACTGCATCTCCTGCCTAAATTGCTAATGCATACTTTGCCCTTCAGCTATAGCTTAAAATGCAGCAGTCCTGAGGGGGTCTGGTAATGAGTTGATCATGTTATACAGATGTTAACTTTGCCTATTAAAAAAAATGCAGACCTGGTCAGAGCAGAAGTTTGCTGGGATAGCTTAAAAATACGGTCAGGTCGCTCTATTAGAAGGTCAAACAGTTTAACCATGTTGTAACAGATACATTATAATTGGGACTCTTTAACAGTGCTGTGGTGTGACTGGGTGCAAGGAGTGCTTTAGAATGCGTTTGAAACTAGAACGTCTTGCTTCTGTGCCTTTCCCAGGCTAGACTAGTAAAAGGTTAGCCAATTCCTTTTTCCCCCTGTCTTTAAGATCACAGTATTATAAAAGGCCAGTATACTTAAATAATCTCAAAATCTGTTCGTGTTTACTTTGCCAGTTTTTTGGTGTAATGACATCATGAATCAAACCTTGTTGCTGATTCATTTAGTGAGCATAGGTTTCAAAAATAGCAAACACTTAGTAACCAAGTTTGAGTCTTTGACCCAAACTTCAAAAACGGCAGGACTGCATTTGACTTGAAGGGAATTGTCAATATTTCTGCAGACTGGGCAGGAAATGTCAAGTTCTGCATCCAGACAGAATAGATTTTTTCTTTTTTTTTTTTTTTTTTTTTTTTACAGCCTTACCCCATTGCCATTATCTTTGCAATTTAAAACCTAAATTATTATGGAATACATCTTCTACTAACTGATAAATTGCTGTGTTCTGTTGTAGTGGGGGGAAAAAAAAAACCAAACCCCGAAACCAAATCTGTTGACCGAAGTATTCACTAAGACACACTTGGTGTCACACTAAGATTATCCCACTTTCCTGTCAGTGACATTCTATTAGGTTGAAAGAAAAGGAAAATTATTAATGCAACTCTAATAATAGGATGAACCCTATGTTCATGTCATACTGACCTAAAATGTGTTTACATCAGTACAGCTCATGATGTCTTCCAGATCAGAAAAAGCTATAACAATGTAAGCGTAGCTATGCTTATACTATACTGGGTACATATAATCATGAGCAGGAAGGAGAATGGCTGGCATGAGCAGTATTTGCAATGTGCTGGTGAAGTTACATCTGATGTACAGGCTGCTGTCAAAGTCTAAATTTACTATTTTAAAATAGGGGCACGTTTGGTTGAAGCTAAAATAATCTGAAATTTGGCATTTATAATAAGATACAAAGTTGTTGCATGAAACAAAAAAAATTCTATTAGAATATGCAGGTCACCTGTGGTACGTTTGGAGGAGTATGGTATTGTCCCAGAATCTGGAATGGGTTAGTCTGGAAAAATCATGCCAACTCAAATGATTCAGTACCAAAATAATTATTTAGAAAAAAGTTCATTTTCATTTTGAAGCCATGTTTTACTTCAAAGCCATTTCAGCAGCTTTCCTTTCCTTAAATTGCAAACTAGTTGGCATCATTACAGGAAGGTTTCTAGCACAAACAACGTTAGTGTCTGAGAAGTGCTGTTAACATGATAAATGAACACTGCTAGTCTGTAATATAATACAGGCTTGGCATTGTCTTTTGCTTTGTTTTGTGCCATTAGTCATAGAGAAAACATGATTTAAAGAGTTGCATTTTAAAAACCAAGTGTCTTTCTGCAGAGAAATAGAACCCAACGGATGTTTTACTGTGAATTCTTTTTCAGCAACTTTTTCTCCTCTGACTTCAACTTTATGCAGACTTCTTGTGTTCTTGCTTTACTTAGCCGTGAAGACTTCCAGCGGATTCCAGAGCTTGCCATCAATCCACTGGGAGACAGAATTATCAATGCCTTCTTTCCAGAAGGGTGAGTTCCAATGGACTGAATTTGCGAGCAGGCACAAAATTTGTAGTTCGTCAGAAGTTTTGATAGAAGTGAAACGCTGATAATTAAAGCACAGAATTTGAATTTACTAATAATTGAACACCTCAAGCTTGTCATGAAATGTGTGTGGCTACATTGTTTCCTCAGCATGTTTTCATTCTATAACGAGAAACACTTTACAACCTTCCAAGAGTTTTGTGTGCTTTATTCATTGACAGACTCAGGCTTCACGTCACATTTTTTTCACTCTTCTCGCTATGCTGCTGAACACTTCTAAAGAAGGTCAAGCGCATGTATGGACTTTGGCTCTTAAAGCAAACTTGTAGCAATACTATTTCATGCTAAGTAGTATTGCAATTAACTAATTCAGTCTTTTTTTTCACCTTTTAGCCTCTAAGTGTACCGTTGTTATTAGAACAGCTTTTTTAGTTTGTTTTTAGTTTTTGATCACATTTAAAACATAACTTAAGGCACTTCTAACATAAATCCAAAGACATGATCAAATTTGCAGTACTGTCTCTCTTCATTATACCTCTCTAGATTGTTCTATGGAATCTGCTGCTGCTCTTGAACACATTTGTCGTTACTGATTGAAGATTGGATTGTCTAATCAAGTCAGAATATCAGCTAATACCAGGCAGGGTTTCCTGAATAGAAAGCAGGAGTCCTGGAAAGTACTTGCATAGCTGGTTCCCACAGAAGCTCTAGAGAACGGAGGTATTTGTCAGGGAGCAGTGAGCGACGGCTGCCCCACAAGCAGGAGGCAGGGGTGACAGCAAAGCTGGCAGGCACAAGGTACTTGCTGACAAAGGGCAGAGCACCTGAACAAGAAAAGCGGAGCAGGTCCAGTGACTGTTGTCATGTCAGCCAACAGTCCAGTGGTTGCCAGATAAGTTGACGGTGCTGAAGCAAGTCTCGGGTCAACGCAGGGAATCAGAGTCCAGATCAGCAAGATACATTGCCAGAGTCAGGCATAGCTGCAGGATAGCTCAGGCAAGGGCCAAGGGTGAGGGCTTAAGCTTAAGTAGAGTTTGCAGGCAAGGGGAGGGGAGCCCTCAACAACGCTTCTCACAGTTTCTTTTTTTACACATCGTACTTCACAACAGTGTGATCCCAGGTTGCAACTGCACTGTGTCAGAGCTGAGTTTGAGCATAGCAGCCAAACCCTGGGGAGGTGGGAGTGGAAGAGTCTGCATGGTGTTAATGCTTTAGACATTCATACTCTTCTTTACTGAAATAAAGAACTTGTATAAGCTATGCTAAAACTGACCTGCTGAAATGCTTACGCAGAGAGGACCAGGTGAATTTCCGTGGATTCATGAGGACACTAGCCCACTTCCGACCCATAGAAGATAACGAAAAGAGCAAAGACCAGAATGGACCAGAACCACTGAACAGCCGAAGTAACAAGCTCCACTGTAAGAAATGTGAACCCTCCTATAGAAACAATTATTTTTCTTTTTCTGTTTTTTTCTGGGAAGGGAGTGAAGGGGCTTGGGGTCTTCTGTACGGTCATTCCCTGTGGAATGATATCGACTAATACCTGATTTTTTTTTTTTTTTTTTTAAATTAACTTGCGATCTTACCTGTTCAGCATGTCAACAGTTGACCCATTCTTATATTGGAATTTGGTGGAATTGGTTGAATTTTGAGTAATGTGTATGCTTTTCCAAATGTCTCATAACAGAAGTGTTTCAAAATGGTTTGCATCCAAAGTTATTTCAGATTTAGAAGCCACATCCCGTATGTGAACGGGCTTTTCTGCTTCTTTATCCAGTCTTCCATATGATATAGTGCTTTTTCCTCACCTTCAGCTGAGTACTTTCTTGAGTATTTGGATGTCTGCCTACAGTATGAGCAGAATGCTCTTGCTCGCTAATCAAAGTTGGCAACAGTCCTCAGAGCACTTAAAATTTCTGTCATATCTCATCCAGAATATAGTCAAAGAGAATGAATGGTAATGTAAAAATGGTTGGCTCTGAAGTTAAAGGATTGAATGTATCTTAGTGGTAATTATACTTCCACAACTCGGGGCTTTGAAGAAATACCTCTGCAAGCAGAGTACTTCTGAAAGTACTTATACTGAGCACTTAAGATTTTTCACTTCTTGGCAATAACGTTAGTCCTGTATGCGGTAATAACACTTTATGGAACTGAACATGAATTTTATGGTGAATTAAAATTCTAAGCTAATTCTCTTAAAATGATTTATGAATACCTACTATTTTTTTTTTTTTAGATAAATGTATTGTTATGAAGAAAAATAGTGGCACTTGAATTAAGCTGCTCGTTCTTTTCTTCCCTGTAGTTGCTTTTCGGTTATATGATCTAGATAAAGATGACAAGATTTCCAGGGATGAGCTTCTTCAGGTAAATAGCACAGGGCTGCTTTGAATGACTCCATTGTGACCTTCTCTGTGACTTCACGCCCATTTAGAATGTTGTAACTCCCCTTTTCAGTTGTCTCAAAAGAACTCCTGAAGCAATTTGGCGGCTAATTGCTTATCTCTGGTTTAAAGCTTTAGATATGGTATGAGACTTTAATCTCATTTGATAGCCCAGGCTGTTCTGTCAGACTGGGAATGCTAGATTCAAGTTTAAACCAGAGTGTTAGGCTAAGCAGATCCTATTGGAAATTATACCTAAATATCCAACAAATACACTAAGCTCCTAAAAACCACCTTGTCTAACTTTCAAAGATGCTTCTAACAGGGCTTCACAGGGACAATCCTTGAGGTGGATTAGGTTGTTTGCCTCATCTTCTGTGCATCCTCTCAATAGAATAAAACTTCTTGAAATTGCAGCAAAGGTAATAAAAGTTCATCAGTGCTGCATATATATGAAACTAGGCTTGAGCTAGGAGTAATTACATACTACTAATCCTGGGAAGTAGACATGACAATTTGTGGTTCCTGATGTAGGACAAGGATTGCTTTTGACTGAAACTGCCCTCTTCTATTTGCACAGAAAATGCTTTACTAACTGTAGAGAGTAATGGCAGTTATCATTTGACCATATACTTAACAAGATTCCTGTAGGCAACTGTCTCAAACAGCAGATATTCAGTCAAATGTTGGTATGTTTTGTGGGAAAAAAATAGACAAAAGCATTGGAACAAAACATACTCATTCCTAGTTCCAAAAGCTTTCTCATACTTCTACCTCTTCCTGCTGCCTAGTGAAAAAGCAGGATTCTTTGTCAAAGGTGGCTACAAAAGGAAGCGTCTTTCCTGAAAGCCTTGATGTACAAAGGACAAATAAAAGTCTGTTTAGAAATTACAACCATGGAAATCCTCCAGGGTTGTTCTTGTATAGTGTTATCTTGACAGTATACACAAGAAAAACAGCACTAAGAATACCTCTGTTCCTATGTCAATAATGTTTTTTTTCTTATTTAAGAAAAAAAAAAAATCTGGGGAATTCTGTATGTTACAGGTATTACGGATGATGGTTGGTGTAAACATTTCAGATGAGCAGCTGGGCAGCATTGCTGACAGGACAATCCAGGAAGCTGATCAAGATGGGGATAGTGCCATCTCCTTTGCAGAGTTTGTAAAGGTTGGTAAACAACACTTTTAACAACTAAATGAAACTGCTTAGTAATGGGCAAGTCATTCAGACTTAAATGCAAATGGAAACAGAGGAAGTCATTCAAATAGTCCTGCCTGCCTGCATTTGGGCAAAGCAAGCCTTCTGCTAGCTCTTTTTCTTCCCTTCTTTATCAGGACTTTTTTTTTTTAATACTGTCAGGGTACTAATAATTAGTCCATGTTTCTTCATACTCTTACAAAAAGCTACAGCACTGAATATACTGCAGAATTTTCACTTTTTTCTTTTGCAACCACTTCTTTCTACGCAAGTAGCCTGACTAGCACAGTTACAACAGAGTAATTCTGCTATAATTGTGCTGATCAGTTTTCACTTGTAGATTTTAGTAACACAACTAATATCAGTATTCAAGTTCCTAACTCTGGTCCTTTGAATTACATCTTTTGTTAGTCAGAAATAGGTAATAGTAAGGAGCCATTATATAGTCAGTGGAGAAAGTTGTCCTATAGCAGAACAGTTTCAACTACCTAATGGGATGGTATTGACAAGAAGAACCAGACTCATCTTGGAGGTGAACAAAGATAGGACAAGAGGCAACAGAAACAAGTTGCAACATGGGAAATTCTGGTTAGCTATAAGGAAAACTTCTTACCAAGAGGATGATCATAGGTGCTGAAGATGTAGAACCTCCTTCCTTGGAGATATTTAAAACTTAACTGGACAAAGCCCTGATCTAGCTGGCCCTGCTTTAAGCAGGAGTTGAGGGAGTTGGACTAGAAGACTTCCAGACGTCTCTTCAGTGTTCCAAGATCAGAGTAATTTAAGTCAACTGCCTGAAGCAGCCTGGGGCAGACTAATGTCTTCGTACCTCAGTGTTAATAGCAATTCAGTGAATGAAGTTGCCACTGCAGTTTTACAATTATCTGCATTAGTAATGCTGTGGTCTTGATTTTTAGCTCTTCGATGACTGCTCATGCCCCTTCCTCTACCCTGTTCTCCTTTCTGTTTCCTGGCCATGCATTCCCACACAGTCTAATTTTGGGAATCCAAGCCTTTCTGGGCTGTTGGCAGACTGAAACTGCGTTAGTTACATTTTGGTTGACAGCCTTCTTCCAGCTTTAACAGCTGAAGTTTCTTTCCTTGGAAGAACCTTAGTCCAGAATGAAAAATAGCAGTCTCTAGATGAAAGACTGGCATGCCAAATTGAAGACGTCCCATGTTCCTGCCCATTTCCTCTATACTAGAGTAAGAAACCTTGTAGGAGAGAAGTATGTACAGTAACTTAAGTAGCTTTTTCTGAATTTTATTGCAGGTTTTGGAGAAGGTGGATGTAGAGCAGAAAATGAGTATTCGATTTCTTCACTGATGGATGGAGAACCTATTCCTTTCTACCCCTACTATATAATGAATAGAACTTCATTTTCTCCTTAGCACCTTCCCCCAGAGCATTGCTACTGGTGCATATACAATACATCTCCAACCCCTCCCTGATTTGTTCTACCAATGTGAACATTCCCTGTGCATCAGGAACAAAGGGAAATGGCTGCCATGCAACTTGGAAAGGAGCATTTTATTTTTTATTTGAAATCTTTTCTGTCCATTTTTTTACCCTTTCTCCCTTGTCTCCTTCTGCACTACTGTTTCAGCAAAAATGTCTCTCCTTACGTACTGCTGTTTAATCTACAAACTGATTCTTCTGAGCTCTGAATCTGAGAATGGAAATACAGGAACACGCCACAGAAGTGCCCTCTGAAACACTTTGGAGACAAGCATCTACTCAAATACTAGGTGCAGTGGTAATGATTCACTTTTGCTTCCAGTAGCAACACCACATTTTCTTTTTCCCCCCTCTTTTGGCTCTTTACATGCAGATTTGTTTCTTCCCTGCTTCCGAATCTGCCTTTTACTTGAGGACTTCTTAATTTCTATGGCTTCATTGTACAACTAGCACTGAATGCATGATGATAGCCTAGAGTACTTTGAAGTACTGTGAATAGATTCTATTCTTTGCGGGATGAATTCACAGGGACAATAAGAGAATCTGTGGTGGAGACAGGCTGTGGTGTCCTCAAAAGGAATAGGAATTCTGCACTAAGTCACTTAAATTGTTCCAGTAGCAGATGCAGAAACTTGTTTCTTTCCTTTGAGTAGCTTGCAGGCTTGACAGCCAATGGACCATGAAGTGCCCTCTCCAGGTTGCTTTGCTCTAGGATCCCTCCATTCATCAAGGTGGTTTTGCCTCTGAAAGTGTAAACTTATTTACCAGTGTACATAATGCAAGAAAACTAGTCATGCCAAAATCTGGATTTTTTTTTTTTTTTCAGTTCTGTCACTGCCCCTTAATAATAGTGTCATGAAACATAGTACTGATATTTTTTTTTGTCTTTTAAATCATAGTGGCCTGGATAATCAGTAATTATCCATAATTTACATTTTCCAGTATGGAAGTCCTGGTCTGTTAGATTTGTGTCAAGGGTGGTAGCTGTTTATGAAAGCTCTGGCATAAGAATATATTTTGGGGAAGTACATATAATCCCAAATATTTCAGAATATATTTCTTTGCAAGTGTATGATTAATACCATTAATGTAATGCTGATAAATTCAGAGATCAAAATTATTGAAGGTTCAATAGCAACGTGATTTTCTGTGGCTAGATTGGCAAATGATCTCATCTAGTTCAGCTGGAGCAACCTATAGTCTAGGAGGTCCTTCCAATAACACCAAAAAACCCCCTGGGAGCTTCTTTATTGAACGATCAGTGTTATAACTGCTTCTCTATGTCATGTGTTAACATTTCTATAAAATACTTACCAGTCTCAAACTACCCTCAAATGTGCATTTCCTTTTTTCTCAGTTCCTTTAACGATCACTTGTGTTAGAGAATAACATGCAAGTCTCTGAAGGATTTTTGATTTTTTTAAATTAAGGAGTTGCAAAGTGAAATGTTGCACTTTATTGTTTTGCAGAGTGCAGCATGATTCCAGAAAGAAATGTAAATTAAAAACCTCTACTCTGTATGAGAAAGAAACATTACAGTTTTATGACCATGTCATGTAAAATAGGAATATAACTGTTAACAGATTGAAAAGTAAAAGGTGTTCGTAGGCTTTGTGATCTTCTTTAAAGTAGGTGTTGCTCTCTTCTGGCTATATAGTTGTAACCTACAGTTGTGCCTTATTGTCCCAGTGAGACTGGATATTGTATTTATCAATCCATAAATAAACCCTCCACTGTATTTAAAAAAAACCCAAAACTATTCCTGTATGGTAATTGACTATCCTTTAATGACTGGAAAAGTTAAATACTGGTAGAATGGTGCTAACAGGCATTACAGATCCATTTTTTATAACTGAACTTGTTTCCAGAGTATTAATAATCCTTTATTATGCTGGTAGAGTGGAGGAAACTAGTGCAAAACATGAGCTCCAGAAGAGGACATGCACTTGTAATACTGCACTATGGATCCCGTAACAACATGAGCTTTACACTTCTCCGTGGTTCCAAACGAGGCTTTTTTTTTCCCCTCCCCACAGTGGTGTTGTATTGTTCTAATTAAAGGGTATATAATACCAACGCTAGTTTATGATGTCTGTCCTTATAAGCCCCCACCTTAGAAATCAGGTATTTATGCTAATGTGCTTTAAGGTGAACACAAATACTCTAATAGGTGCACAGCCAAAAAAAACACCATAACCAAACCAAAATCCAACTAACCCTCACACAATGAACAAAAAAACCCCCAACTATCAGAATTTAACTTTGCTGTTAGCTGTATAAATCACATGGAAGCCACTGAGTATCTTATTCAGTGTTCTGAAATCTACATATTTAACATGTAACTTAAAAGGTGGTAGACAGTAAGGGGAGTTTTAGAGAGCTGAGATTTTAAATTTATGTTAAATTTAAAATTGTTCAAAACTAAGCTGTACGGATATAAGCAGACCTCCACAAAAGTCATGTTTTTAGCATACCTGATTGCTTGTAGAAATTAAATCTTAAGTCTGCTTGAGAACAAAGGTCATCTGTGAAGGTTAAAGTCTGGAAGAACGATAAGATCATCAGCTCAAAGGCAGAACTACGTAATATTTCATCTTTGTCCTTTGAAAAAGCAGTATATGGGATAGGTATTTAAGTACAGATGAACCATTTTCCAGTCTACTGGCAAATAGGAAGTAAAGTCTATTTTCAAATCTGTAGATTCAAGTTTGTTACATTGAGAATCTCTGGATGGTTGGCTGCATGCAGCCAATTAGTTTTCATTGTCTGTTAGAGTATTTTGAAGACTACAGAAAGCGGAAATAGGTTTGATAACTCATTTGCCACCTTTCAGTATTGATTAGCTGGCTTAAATAGCTGTAGGCTCATTAGCTTGGCATCAAGTCTGGGCAAAACAAAAAAATCTGAATATAGGATTTGACTCATGAGGAGCAGAAGTAAAAATAATGCTAGTTTCCATAACTTTACAATGGAAAATTACTTGAAAGGTCTGCTTTCGGTTCTTTGAAACTGCAACTTTGGTTGTAAATAGTGCGTGGATATAATATTTAAGTTGGCAGAAGCGTTTCATTTAAGCTGACAATCCGCATTAAAACACTACATAGTAGAAAAGCGTGCATTAAATGGATTAAGATTTCAACTGAAATTGGCTTGTAGTAGTTGTCTGTGATGAATCACGGTTAAATGGGGGTGTTTCTCGGGAGTTTTGTGAATGGGTAAGTACTCCTCTTCACACTATTCAATACACTCACCCGTCAGCCTGAAGTGTAAAATTACCGCTGCTAAAAAAAAAATATAATTTTTTGCAGATGACACAAAAACTGGCAGAATGAATAAAGGCAGTTATTCAGAGCAATCAAAATCACTTGATGACGGCGGCCCATGCAGGCGGCTGTGCTGGTTCAGCCGGGATCTCACACATGCAGGAGGCGGTTGTGGGGGGGGCCGCTGGTGCGCGGTGAAATGGAGGACGGGGGAGCGGCAGCGGCACCCCGAGCGGTCTG